GGGCTGAGGGCAGGGCCTCTGTTGCGTCGGGAGATCTCCCCGGTTGCTTCTGTAGACCTGACGCTTTCTGGGTGAGCCAGACCCTGGAGGCCTTTGGGAGGGATGGAGTTAAAGATAAACCGTGTGTGGTGCTGGGCAGAAAGCAGTCTCCAGGCTCTCCCTGGAACGTGACCCGTCTCAACCCCGATGGCTCCGTCGGTCAGAAGCAACCCAATAATTGAGGCAACACTGAAGTGCTCGGTCCTCAGTTCGCCGCCGCACAACATCCTTTTGCAGCTGAAGTCTGAGAAAATGTATAACCAGTCCTGGCTGAGTGGCATCAAAGAGAATCACATCCAGTCAAACGTGGCGCCGGCCCCGAGTCCCTGCCACTAATGACAGTGACTGTGGATGTGGCCTAGCACGGTCTGGAGGACCGTCTCCACGGGGGGGCTGGCATCCACCACGAGGCAGCCAGGGTCCTCCATCCGCTGGTAGGACACCTCCACCCTGGGGATGGAAGAAGGAACAGGGTTGGCACACTTTCAACACGGCTCTGCACGCAGATGGCATTTCCCACCGTGACACCGGCAGCTGAAAGCCAGGGCCCCGTCTGGTCTACCACACGGCTGCCCTTGGCAGCCAGCTCTGCCCACAGGCCACGTCTGAGACACTGTGTTTCATGCGTGACACGTTAGCAGTCATGTCTAACACTAGCATTTATGAGTCCCTCCTGTCCGCCAAGCGTTAGGGTTCTGCCTAAGTCTTCCCTCCTCGTGCTCAGTGAGCGACCTCACGAAGGACCCACTGGAACCCCCATTTTGCAGATAAAGTGGCAGGAGCTCAAAGACATGAAGTCATCTGCCCAACGACAAACGTCTTCAAACGAGCCAGATGTCACACAAGCCGGGGTTCCCCAGCACACACACTGATTTCACTATGAGCCTCCGAAAAACGTCCCCGGAATTCTTCACCTCCCGCCAGGGTCAGCCGCCTGGGTGCACGTGGAATGACGGCTGAGGGTGTCGCCGAAGCCCGAAGGCGTGGCGGCTAACACAGTGTCTCACCCGTGAGATGAAGATGGAAACAACGCCCTCCTCGCAAGTGTGTCACAAGGTGTAAGTGAGTTAATAGCAGTGAAGGGCGTGGCTCTCCGCACACAGCAGGGCTATTTGTGCATGTTGTAACAGTGCTATGCCGTGGAAACAGTGTTGCCACGGTGTGTTCACAGGAGCGATTGTGTGGCGGTTTCTCAGACCTGTCCTGTGGAACCTACACACTCGCCAGGAGGCGGTCGGTGGCCCAGACTCCCCGCTACCGTATTCGTGCTTTTTAACGAACACGACAGCTGCCTGACAATCAGAAAGACCCGGCCTTGATCCCAGGGCCCCTAGTAGTACCCGTGCAAATGCAGACAAATCCTGTAATTCTCTGGGCCTCAGTCTGTAGACTGTAAACTATGGCTAATGTCCCTGCAAGGATGACAGAGCATCGGAACGGACAGGGCGGCACCCAGTGGAAGTCACGGCTTCACCGACAGTGCTCTGTGCCCCCTGCATTACATGGGGAAACTGAGACCCAGAGACGTGCATGGTCCTGCTCAGGCCCATGCTGTTCCTGGCACCGAGGGACCGGGAAGGTGTGCTCCCCAGAGGGACATCCCAGGGCTTTCAAGCAATACTGTAGCCCCGTGTGACAATCCCATGTGACAATTCCATTGGAAGGAGCGGAGCTAACTTGGTGGCTGTTGCCTCTCTGGTGTGGAAAACAGGAACAAGATCATTTTGCCGGATTCCTAGGTCCGTGCCAATCCCAGCTCTCACCATGGCCAGGGACCCTTGCCACTCAAATCGAATGGTGACACCTACTTTTGACGAAATACGCTGTTGGCCTCTAGCTCCACCTCCTCTCTGGTCTTCTCCATGCCCCGGCCCTGGATCCTCTTCATCCTCTCCTCGGGGCTCACGGTCAGCAGCAGCACCAGGTCGGGCTTGAGCAGGTCCTTCGGCCACTGGTATATCGGGTGGTGGGCGGGGGGCAGGTGCTGGACAGCCCCACTCACCTCGGTGGCAATGGCGTAGGTGGCCGTGCTGTGCCAGTACCTGGGACGCAAAGGAGTGGTGAGTCCCCCGTTTCAGAAAACATCTGCGATACCTACTAAAGCGCAACACGCGCGCGAGCCCGAGCCCCCAGTTCCACCCCGGGGACTCCGCACGACAGAACGGCACCCGCGGTGCACCAGAGCTGTGTGAGGGGACACACATGACGGCAGGAAGAATCCCACAGCGTAGGGGGCCAGCAGGTGTCTGCTGACCAAGCCCGTGAACCAGCCGACCACGAAAGCGCTGATGGGTGGGGCGGGGACGTGGGCCACTCTTCCCGACGCAGCACGTCCAGCCCAGTCCCTTTGGCAAGTTACATGGTCTCTCTCGGACCCGTGTTTCTCATCGGCAAGTCGGGGGCGATGTTTCCTACCCACCTGACCAAGCCACGCTTCCGGCTGTCAGTACAACGTATGGAGCGTTCTTGGGAAATTGCCAGGCAGAGTGTGGGTAACTAATGAACCACGGACGTCATTCCTATCGCTGTCACAAGACAGTTCCACTTAATAAAACGATTGTGCACTTGCACACGCGCGCGTCAGGAAGAAAATGCCCAGTTCCTCTGTATACCCACCTGTCCACAACCACCGGGGAGCTGGCCGACGCCTGAGCTATCTCAGAAGCCACGATATAATTGCCCAGAGAGTAAAAAGCTCTTCTGATGATGGTCGGCTCCTCGTCAAAGACTTTCCGCCACTGGCTGATGCACGCGGGGGGCGACTTTAGGAGAACGGCCTTGAGCGAGTCTGAAACGGCCTGGGTCACGGTGGTTTTACCTGCGGGTCACATCGGGAGCACAGCACAGCTCAGCCCTGGCCACTGCGTCACTCCCGGGAATTTACTACCAACTCAGATGAGCAAAGACATGCTTTCAACCTGTCGCTCGAAGTGGCTGATTCGATAATTTGATTCTTTACAGAAAGTCACAGACCCTTGGGAACTTAGGATTCCTCTCCTTGGTGTTAGGAGACTTGAAAGGACACCAAACTGGGCCAGCTGGTGTGGCTCGGTGGTTGAGCATCAACCTGTGCACCAAAAGGTCAGCGGTTTGATTCCCGGGCAGCCGAGCAGGGCATGTGCCCGGGTTTTGAGCTTGATCCCCAGTGGGGAGCGTGCAGGAGGCAGCCGANCCCCGGGGGGGGGGGGGGGGGTGCAGGAGGCAGCCCCGCTGACCGCAGAAGGAGCCTCTCCTGCCTCCAAACCAGGTGGCGCTCCTGTTCCCCAAGACCAGCCTCGTCCTGGGGCCTCTCCTGCTGCCCTGGGCCCGGGCTTCTGCTTGTGTGTCGGGCTACGTGCAGGAGCCTCTGCTGTGTTTTCACACCATCCGGCAGCTCCAAAGGCTTCTC